TACTTTCTCTTGCCATGAAACCTTTCTACAGTATCCTAAGAGAACTACAGTTAAAAACATCTTAAAAAATCAACTCGCATTTTCACATTAACAGTAGGTTCCAATGGCTCACATCTTAAATGCTCTCACACTCCACCAGATCACCTCTAGAAATTTTATCTACTTGGTAAGTACTTAATGCAAACAAAACAACTTCTGCAGTGCTGTAATATGATACCAATATGCAACATCTTTTGGAATTCTGGCTTCAGGCCTGATAGAGCAAATATTACCAAGATAAAAGGCTTTTCTTTATTTAAAAAAAAATAAGAAAAATATAATTATGCACAGCTTCACGTTTCATGCATATTAGAAATTACTACATCCAAGTTCCAAGCAAGAAATTGTGGAAGTTAATTCAATAACATATTCTTATAAGGAATATTTTTTATTATATGAAGGGACTGTAGTTGAGTAACTTAATGTAAACTCGTGCACATTATATAAAATTGTAGGTAAAGAACAGTCAACATCCATATTGGGAAGTAATGTATTTCGGTTATATATACACATACACACTATACTATTACTTAATATATTCTTTCTCACCTGGTATTCATCACCTTTTATCAGCCATTCTTTATAAAGTATCACTAGAATCAGAGACTCATAGAATTGCTCAGGTTGGAAAAGACCTTAAAGGTCATCAAGTACAACCATGACCTAACCGTGCTACCCTAACTAACAACCCTCTGCTAAATCATGTCTCTGAGCATCATATCCAAACAGTTTTTTAACACAGGGATGGTGACTCAACCACCTCCCTGGGGAACTCGTTCCAGTGCTTAACCACCCTTTCTGTAAAGAAGTTTTTCCTGATATCCAATCTAAACCTTCCCTGGCACAACTTGAGGCCATTTCCCCTTGACCTATCTCCTGTCACCAGTGAGAAGAGACCAACTCTGCTCTCACTGTAAGCACCTTTCAGGTATTTGAAGAAAGAAATAAGGTCTCCTCTTAGCCTCCTCTTCTCTTCCTGAGACTGAGCAGCTCCAGTTCCTTCAGTCTCTCCTCACAGGCCATATTCTCAAAGCCCTTCACCAGCCTTGCTGCCCTTCTTTGGACCTGCTCCAGTACCTCCATGTCCTTTCTGGACTGAGGTGCCCAAAACTGAACACAGTACTCAAAGTGAGACCTCACCAATGCCGAGTACAGGGGCAGGATGACTTCTCTAGTCCTGTTCTCCACACCATTCCTGATCCAAGCCAGGATGCCATTGGCCTTCTTGGCCACCTGGGCACACTGCTGGCTCATACTCAACCAACTGTCCACCAGTAAGCCTGTTAACCAAGTTAACCTTGGCCCATCGATCCCTCTGTAGTTCCTTTCTCCCCTCAGGCAGATCAACACTCCCTCCCAACCTGGTGTCATCTGCAAACTTATTGAGGGTACACTCAACCCCCTGATCAAGATCATTAATAAAGATGTTAAATAGAAGCAGCCCCAGTACCAAACTGTAGGGGACTCTTCTTATGACCTGCAGCCAAATGGATTTAACTCCAATGACCACAACTCTTTGGGTCCAGCCATCCAGCCAGTATTTCACCCACCAGAGCACACACCCATCTGAACTGTGGGCAGCCAGATTCTCCATGGATGTTGGGCGGGAGGAGGGGGAGGGAGACGACTCAAGTGTGCCTCAGAGACTCAGCACAGAAAATCATACAGCATTGTTTTGAAGAATGACAGATAGCTAGATCCTCTTTTATTTTCGGTATTATTAGAATAATGAAAGTGAAACTAATCTCAGCATAAATATTTTAAAAGAAAATTCAAGGAGATGTGTAGTTGTATTTTTTCATACTACAGATTTCCATTTGTTTCGAGAAGATTGCTTCTAGGAGCACTGGTAGCTTTTCATTATAATATAATCATTTTAATGCTGGAAATCCCTTAGGCATAACGGAGAGCTGAGACCTGGACAGCATCTATACTTAGAAAACAGATAAAAGAAAATTTTAAGACTGAAGCCTTGTAATCCATGATGTTATGAATTCATTCAACATGCAGCAGACTCAAAATTCAGCAGACTTTTAGTATTAACTGAATTCAGACAAGAGTTCAGAAAACACTGCTAAGTACCTGCACAGCAGCCTAACATTTAACTTACGCAGAATGTCTTACTTTGAGAAGTTCAAGGCCTACAAAACAAAGCCCCGAAAAGGCATATCCAGTCAAAGTGAATGATTCTACCAATTCATAGGTAGCACATCAAATACTAACACGGAAAATTAATTCCTGAATAAATCACTGGACTAATCGCTATTTTTCTAAATTTTCTAAATATTGAGTAAGCCAGTAAAAATTCAGATTAGGCCAAATTGAAAGGTGCCTGTTTCCAGGATTTTGTTCCCCTCTGTTCAGTAGCTACTAAAGCCACACTTCAGACTTTTGGAAAACAAATTCCAAAAGAGCTCACAAAACAAGGAAGAGCAAATTCAACACAAGTGCTTTTTGCAGTTTCATTCATATTCTCCTAGGACTTTTGTTCAGCAAGATTTTGGGTTTATTAAAAGAAGAAGCAGTTCCCTGCAGTGATGCTTATTCTGTTTTTTTCCCATAAAATCCATAGCACTCCAAACTATAACAACAAAAACAGTGGCAGTTGAATTAAATACACTTCATCCTCCCACTCTGTTCACCCAGAAGAAAAAGGAAGGTGGGTGGTTGGAGAAGTGATTTGCAAGCATTGTGGCAAGGTATGGGGTTGCATAACAACATTCCTTGGGGAATCCAAGGCTTGCTTCTCATGCCACCCAAATAAATAAATAAATGAAACCAACTCTATGGGAGCATCTATTACGTACATCAATAATTTATCTGTAACTTGTGCCTAATTGATGTTAAAATTCCCCTTCCATACAAGAACTTATTTTGTTTCCTTCCTCTGAGAAGTCATTTCTTCAAGGATATCCTCTTCACTGTAGCATGGCATCCTTACATTTCTATACTTAGATACGAGAACAGTGATGGCTAGGACTTATGTCTAAACAAACGCTTGACACAGTTTTTCTATTGAATTCTTATAGATGCTTTTTTTTTCAAATGAAAATTTGCATGTTCAACAGAACATTTCAGAGACATTCTCTCTTAAAAGTATTTTTTCCACAGAAAACAAAAATAAGACCAAAGCTTAGTATGGCTGGGAACATTTACTCCATTATCTAATTTAAAATTAAAACCCAGCAGAGTCTTCATGATTCCAAGGCTATGCTGATTGCCATTTGAAGCTGGAAATGTTTTTCCCTAATGCACAAGTGATGAAGCATACGTAAGGCTCAGAGGAAAGTTACCTTATCTGAAGTATCAGATATAGATTACTGCTGGAGTCAGCATGCCACACTAGTTGGATCCACACACTCTGTTCCAATATGAGGAATTAAGTTTCCCTGATGTCACAAATTGAACAGATAATGCAGTTAACATTTCCTTTGAAGTTCACATTGACCTGGTAGCCACTAGAATAAGTTGGCAGAACTTTTTAGTGAAGTCACCGAAGTGCTCTTGGCTCACCCAAACTGGGACTTCATCTTCAGCGTTCTATATCTATTATATATATAGTTCTATATATCTATTATATATATAGTTCTATATATCTATTATATATATAGTTCTATATATCAGAAATGGTGCATGTTCCCTGAGGAGTAAATTATCTGGTTTGCAACAGCCCTTAGGCCCCTGTCTGAAAAACTGATGGACATCAGGATATCTCAGGCAGGTGGCATGCACCCATTTTCTTACCTTATCCCTCCCAGAAAGAGTGATCTCTGGGTAAGAGAAGATACTTGTAGAAAATGAAAAACTATGTATGAAAAGGTGCCACTTGTCAGTAATTATCCTAGAATACAAGACAGCACATGAATGCTGAAGCACTATCACAGTTTCATTTAAATACAAAATTCATTTAATAATCCCATTCTGAGAAAGCACTATTCACAGCTTCACTTTCTCATGTCTAAAAATTCTGAGATTTTGTAAGATCAAGGGTAGGGTCATGAAAAATTTACTTTAAGATTAGGTATAGCTGCTCCTTTGGAACTCTTCAACTTGCAGTATCACATAATGTGATATTATCAATTTCACAATTTACGTGTTTGTGATAACACCAATAAATCAAGACTTTCAAGCACTGAAACAGAGGAAATAAAAATTCATTTAGTTAAGAGACGAGAAAGAAGCAAAGTTAAAACTTCTATCTCATTGAAAAAGAAAATTTAAGATGTAACTACAAGACAACATAAGCATTATAGATTGAAATACTGTATAATTTCCAGAAGTGTTGTATCTTTGGAGATGAAAATACGATGATGGTGCTGAAAACCAGACAAATGACTGCTGACCAGGTAGAAAATTCCAGAGGCACTTAGAAGAATAGATATTGAGAAGTTATGAATGGCACCACTGAACATAAAAAATTAAGGAGCATAGCTATAAGTACAAAAGCAGCCCAAACAATAAAAACACCAACATATTTATGCGTTGGTAATTATTAAAATTATCTGTGGTATAATTTTAATGTGGAGTTACGACTAGTAACCACAAAATATATTACATATTGATCTAAAAAGGAACATAACATACCTCAGAAGTTAATTTTATATTCTCAAGATGTGTAAACACCTAAAAACTCTATTTAAGCAACTAGTCTGCACCTTCTTACTCCCTCCCGAATTAAATAAGAGGTCATAAAAGAGGTGCTGATATTTTTTGACTGCATTTCAAAGAAATAACACACGCTCTTTGTTTGAATAAGCAGCACCTTCTCATGCTATCCTTAGCTATCGCTAGACAAATGAGTGTCTGTTTTCCTCTTCTTTCCCTGTAAAGTCCTCTTTATTGTTGTTAGGAACAGTGGACAGCATCATGAGAATTATATGTTTAAAATAAAACCTCTCTTGAACTCTCTGGAGAGAATTTATGCAAAGTCCCCTGATTCAACTGAAGGAAAATTTGCTTACCTTCTGTTGGTGATGTCTTCAGATGCCTGCAGAGCCCCTCTGTTTCCCCATATGTCTCTTTAATTTTTACCACTGCTTCTGTTCCTCGGAGTTCCATGAGGGAGCGCAGTTCTTGCAGGGTGCACCCAAATTCTCCTGCATGGTTGGCCTCATTTCTTTGGTTCTTGGAATAAAAATCACTATTTGTCATGTCACCCATGGTTACTGATTATATTGCTCCACTTGTTAGAGTTGATAGAAGCTTAAAATCTTTTAAAAACTGAAGGAGACGAGCCTCGAATTCCAGCCTAGGATTAAAAACAATCCAGCATGTGTCCAGTGAGCGACGTGGAGAATGCCTCTGGTGTGCAAGGTGCCCCTGACCGACTAGTGGTCCGCAGAACAGCTGCTTTCAAGGCTGCAGACCAGTTCCGCTCCATTCACCATTTCCCATTATGCAGCACCCAGGCTGTAGAATCTACATGGTCATTTCTTCCTCTGGACCTTTGGGAACAAATAGAAAGCACTCATTACAAGGGTGAGCAACGATTCTTCACAAGGATGAATTCAAATTCATTCTATCGATGCAATTCGACTTGTCATTTAAGAAACAGCTATAGAGAAACACTGTACAGATGTCCTGTGAAATGCTGCAGGTGGTCAAAGCTAGCATGGACAACAAGGATACCACTAGCTCTTAGGTAAAGCTCTCTACAGTTAAAGCACCAATAGCAGCGTAGCATACTTTAATCAAGTCCCAAGAGCAATTGCCAAATGAGATGGTTCATAAATATTAACAAGCAAGCGCTTAGTCCAGCACACTAGATATGTGCCTCCAGTATGTGTGCTGGTTTGTACATCCACAGCAGTCATTCAGCTGACCAGAACACAGGCAAGCTTAAAGGCAGCAAAGTAACAAAAAATAATTAAACCATTAGTTTGTACAATGGGTAAGGCAGAAGTGTTTTTCAGTGCAAGGACAGGATACAGCCACCCCTCAGAAATTCAGAAGACGTGTACATACATCTCATCTTGCAGCTTCAGTGCTGTGCAGGCAAACTACCCCACAAAAGTAAGAAAACACTCAAATGCAGCACTGTGAGCTGTTGGAGCTGCAGCACAGGGGAGGGGCAGCTGGGGGCTGTCCTCCCTACAGTGCCCACAGCCTGCACAGCCACAGGCCTGCTAGCATCCCACACACATATACACAGCTATACTTGCACAGGGTTCCATCTTTTTTTTTTGTTTTACCGTGTGTGGTGTTGAGAAAGCCACATTTGGACCATCTGGGAGGCAGCTGATTACTTGCTAAAATCAGCTTTTAAACTCTTTCCCCTTCCCATATTTTAATGAAGTTGGTTTAAATACTGCCGAAAGCAGCTATTATATTTGGCACAGAGTTTTAACAGAGATTAAAGGTTTCATTTTTGCCTCAAGTGTGTGAATGCCTGTGCATTGTTAAATCTATAGGCCTTGGAATTGTTTTCTTGTGATGAAAAAGGCCCCTACACAGCCCCAGCAGCTTTCTGATTCAGACCTGTCAGCCTCAGCCTTCTAGGTATGGCACCACACCGTGGATATGAGTTCACGCAAAGAGGATTCCGAAGTGTTTCAAGCCCCAGTGCTACATCTATGCATCAAATATAATCTCCTGCCCACACACAGATAACATAACACACAGGCTTGGTATTTCCAAACTAACTGCATTGCCACTGCCCTGCATGTGAGAAAGATCTAAGCCCACTGCATTCATTAATTCCTCCTTGCTTCTAATGACACTACCTGCTCTGGAGCTGCCTGGTACACTTTTCTCAACGAGACAAACTGAATCTCTATCAGTGCTCTAACAGATAACTCAACATTCCTTTGATTTTGAGAGGAAAAAAAAATAAGAAAAACAACACTGAAGTTTTACAATATTGTAGGATGCAGTAAAAATGGCAGGCGACCGCCATTCTCTTCTTCCACCCTCCCTATTCATTGCCAGACATTCTGGTGCTAAGAGCTACTGCCAACTCTGTCACATTTTACTTTTCAAGATGAGAATTTCGGCACAAAGCATGGCTTGCAGTGAGCAGTAAAGAGAAACTGGGAGCGGCAGTAAAAACGGGCTTTCATTTGCCAAGGAGGAGATATCCTGCTCTACCACACAAGCCTTCCATGCTTGTATGCCAGACAACAGGAACAGTTAATTTCATGACAATTCCTTACATTAAGCATGCAGAAAAGGCCTTCGTTATCACTTCATCTGTTTATAAACAGGATGGATCATTATTCTGAACAGAAATAGCATCAGCCTGTAGCATTATTTTGAAAAAAATGGCAAGATGCAGAAGTCACAGATGTCCTGCAAAACAGACTTCATCCCAAGAGGCACTGAATCACCGCAGCTTCTGCTGACGATAACCTTTCCACCACTCATTTCTTAAATAATTTCAGACTCTTCCTGGCTTCGAGTATGGTAAACTGTTGTTGATAGTTACCAAAAGCAAACCAAGATTTGGTCACAGAAAAGGGTAAGTAAGAAAATATTAAGAAGAAAGGAGGCATCAATCATAATAACTAAAATGACAGCCTGCTATTTACTTCCAGTGGGAAAAAAAAAATATTCCAGAGATTAATACACCTAAAGATTTTGAACACTAAAAAAAAAAAAAGAAAAAGCAACAGAAATACAGCATTTGCCTAACAGACAGCTTCTAGGGTTTGTTTTTGCAAAGCCTTCTCTAATAAGAGAAAATCAACAACAGCACAGCAAAAAAACAATTGCATTTTTCTAATGTGAGCCTCCTGGTACTGAATTTGGTGTCAATCATGTTTTCCACACATTCTTCTTTGTAGGATGTGTTCACCTCTCTTGAGAAAGCATTTCTTTTGACCAACTGTGCCATCCCTGTACATTTATATTTTTGTTTCCATTCCTGAGAATTTCACAGCAATATTGCTTTGTAGCACGTGCTTGCTAATTTTGCATTTGCCTGCTTAATTTTTTATTTCATCTTCAATTAAATATTGATCAATAAGCAACAAACATGAAGGCTGTGCCTCCTCCAGTACTCTGAAAACAAATCCCTGAGTTCAAGCTCTTCATGATACACCCAGTGCAGTGACACCAGGGAAACACCGTCTCACATTTTTGAAAGGCAGATGGTAAAATATAGGAAGCACAAAGCATGACTAACATTATTCACTGATAACGCATCTCTCTAATCCTCTGGAACAAGATATGCCAGCTTCATTTGATCCTTGAATCTCTTCTATGAAAAGCACAGGAACCCTGCCAGATGGTGTACCAGGTTAGCATAGCTGACACACGACCACATGGCCACTAAGTGGTTAATAATCCTTTAACAAAAGCTTAGAAATAGAAAACTTGAGGTTGGTAATATGGCAATATTCCCCCATCAGTTGGGCTACACGACTTGCGTCAGCAGAACAGGTTAAATGACTCCAAGTGGATGAAATGTAGGAACTCTACAAGAAATCCAGCTACGACACCAGGCTCAGATATGATCTTTTGTTTGTGGTTTGGAGGGGTCTCACCATTCCCAATGACAATAATCTGCAGAGAAACCAAACCTCCACAGATAAAGTTCAGTGAAAGACAAAAACCTCCCTCCTGTCACTGAAAAACTAATTTCACACACAGTGTCATATTGCCAGCCAGGTGGTTATTTCTTTTTCCTTACCATTGCTTCTGAAACAAGGTTTAGAAACAAGAAATCTGGGTTAAAATTTTCCTAAAGTGCATTTTGGAAACAACTGTGGAGAAATAAATATATATACACACACATATATATACACACACATCTTCCCAACAAGAAGTTGGGAAGTAACAACTTCAAGTAACAAGGCTTCAGAGTAGAAAGCTTGAGTAAAATACTACCCTCATTTTTCTCATTTAAAAAGTCTCCATCCTGATAAAGGTTTTTATTTTTCCAAGATGTCGTGGATTTTTGTTGTACAAGCTTCCCCTCCCCCTTCCTCCCCCAGGTGGCTGCATCTTGGAGAGCAGACTTCCATTCCTGTAGAGCCAAAGACAAATATTTTTCATCTTCTAGCCGCTTAAAGGAAGTGCATGCCAATTAAAACAGGAGCAATTTGGATGAAGTAACTGTAGCCCTGCTGGGAAAACTATACCTTGATTCCCTGAATCAGGAAAAGTCTCATCTTGGAAGCTCGTAAATATTTTCATAGTGTATTAGAATGATTTATAAGATATCATCACTGTGTATTCTGACAGCTGATTTCATCTGGACTTTTATTAGCATAAAATCAATGGTAAGGGAACAAACCAGCTCATCGGTTTCACCAGATCAGAACTGCAAGACCTGTATTTCACAATCCTTAAAGGTCTGATCAAAACCTGGATTCATGACAGCTCCAAGAACTCAGGCTGTATCCATAATTTGACTGTTTTCTCCAAGATCATTATCTAAGATCATATTGATTCTGATCTCAAAATCTGATGATGAAGGAATTACTTGACCTTACAGAAGGAAGGATAAAGAGGTAATCACTCCTTAATGGGTTGTCAGAGGAATAACCAGGGCAGAGATCAGCTAAGCTGAGGTGCTATTCACTCATTCTGCAATTGGGAAGGGAGCACACAGGACCGGTTCCCATCAAATTAAGCCAAGGGAATTGGCTTGTAGCATTGCCATCACACTAGGATTGTTATTTGGATGTAGATTTGATGCCAGCTGCTCCTCTGGGACACACACAGACCTACCAAAGCAAGGGTGTGGGAAAAAAACATGGAAGCATGACATTTTACAGAGTACTAAGTTTTTGAAAAGATTTCTCTGTATCCCTGCTATTAGAGATTTTATTCCTTGGTAAAACAGAATTAAGGGGTTTCTCCCAGCAATCTCAACAAAATGGGCCAAGTGTTTTTTTTTTGTTTGCTTGCTTAGTTTTTGTTTATCCTCTATGGGCCATGTGGTAGAACAAGGCCAGCAACAGGCTGCCAGAATGCTGCAGGGCATTCAACACCCATGGCAGTACCTGAGAAAGAAAACCATACCATCCTCTAGAGAAATCTCCAGATGAAATAAATCCAGTTGTGGCCCAGTTGCACCATCTCATAAAACGTATTACTCTTCTCCTGTATCAAAAAGAAAATTCTGATCTATTTGGGAAAATTATCTTTGCAGATGAGCAGGAGAAATGCTCATCTCTCCAAGCAGTCAAGGAAACTAATCAAAAGCACCCAAACATGCTTATGTTCAAACTCATGCTTAAAACAAATAGTGATTTTGAAGTTCAATTATCAGGAAGGCACAAGATGCAGCAGGAAAGAAAAACACTGTTTGAATAAAAGCAGGTTGGCACCTTCACAAGTGTGAAATTTTTGTTGAAAACCAGCAAGCCAAGAGTAGATGAAGAGAAAAAAAACTGAACTTTGCAATTTGTCTGAAAATATCCTATCTACAACACTACATAACCCAATGCAACTTGAAATTCATTAAGAAAACTGGTAAATAATTCAATCCTGGATGAGC